AATGAATCATACTTTTTTGGTTTTTTGGCTGAGTTCTGAAGAGATGTTTCTTCTCTAGGGGGTACATGGACAACTTTTTCATGCTCTGCATCACTCTCATCAAATGTCAGCCGTTTTCGGCTTGCCACTTCAACTTTTGTTTCTCTATCCTTGCCGACATTGATAATGCGCTCAGGCAATACAATATTTTCACACAACCCGTTCAGTGTGCTACTCTTCCTACTTGGCCCTTCAAATTTTTTGACTTGAATACGTGTAATTTAAATTACCTGAAGAATGATTTTCCAAACTATTGCAGGATCAGCCCTACCTGTAGGTGAGAAATGACCCTTCTTTCAGTAATAGAAACAAACAACAAAGAGAAGAACAAGCCAAAGAAGTCATAAGATTATACCTAGGAGGAATCTTGGAGATGGTGCCTCATTCCATCTCCAAAATCGAATATAAATAGCCCAACGTGCATACTGAAATAATTGGCCGGGGATTATTAAGGGAAGGATCCATAAATACAAGACGAGGAATCAGAAAAAACGTATCAATCATACCGGGAAATCTGCACATTTGATACGCACCGCCAAGAATCTGGAAATCGGGGGTTGATTATGCTAACAATTCGAATCGCCCAAGTATTGTAATCCATTGCTAGGGGACACGCAAAAATTATGCCTATTTCACCGGGAAGGTATGAATGCTGGACAAGAGGAAATCACCGTACAGCTTAAGGAGAACTGGCCATTGTGATATGCAGGAGAATTGGCTTTTGTGATATTCATCGTAATAGAGGAGCAAGAAGAATGTCATTCTCTCATTCACATCCAAAAGGCGTCTGTATAGGACAAAATGGGAAGACATGAGCCTCACAAAATACACAATTAACTCACATAAGACTGTCACTTTGTAGTTAATTATGAGATGTGACCAGTTGGAGAAGAATTGTTTGGGTGGCATCCAAAGCTTCCCCAAATATTTGATTGTATCATTTACAACATCTAACCCCATCCAGCCATCTGGTATTGCAGTTGCCCTAACCAGTTGATTAATCACATATCATTCATCATTTAATTTGCACCTCAATACTCAAAAGGAATGATAATGTTTGGTTGTGTCTAGAAAGCAAAAATTTAAGGGTTGGTTTTTACCTTGGAGAATATGGATGAATTTCAAATTTGATTAAAACTCTTTCAAATTCAAATGCTATTTTTTAATTCATTAAATCATGCGAATTTTCTTTCCTTCATGTTTAAATTGCAATAAGCCGTCCAGAAATTAAACCCTACCTTCCACGACCTTGTCAAGTTCTTTTGATCCAGATGTTTTTTCAATGATTTCAAGCCTCTGCGCATGGAGTTGGCTTGCACTAGTGAACCCCAAGGGCACCAATTTTGAAGCTGTTGGTTGGTGTTAGTAAGATTAGTTTGCTGATATGCATAGTTGCAGCAGCGAGTGAAGCAGGATATGGTCAGAACTGAAAAGGATAAACCTGCTTCTATAATTTTGTCAACTTTAGCTTCACTGATCCCCTTTATTTGCACAAGATCCTTTCTAGGATCGTACATGACTGATTCCACAGTATATAGACCAGAATCCTTAAGTTTCTTAATGTCAAGGGCTGCTATTCCAGATTCCTAGAAATGAAAACATGATCTGAAACTCACTTTCGAAAGGATTTAAAAGACATTAACTCTTGTCAGATGGAAAAGATTATATCTAAAATCAAACAAGTTAAGGCGAGCAAAATAACCAAAACCCTAAAACTGGAAACCATGAATTTCACCATCTCAAAAGATATAATAGGTTTGAAGCAAGGTACCCATTACTGGAAATTGGANACTGATTCCACAGTATATAGACCAGAATCCTTAAGTTTCTTAATGTCAAGGGCTGCTATTCCAGATTCCTAGAAATGAAAACATGATCTGAAACTCACTTTCGAAAGGATTTAAAAGACATTAACTCTTGTCAGATGGAAAAGATTATATCTAAAATCAAACAAGTTAAGGCGAGCAAAATAACCAAAACCCTAAAACTGGAAACCATGAATTTCACCATCTCAAAAGATATAATAGGTTTGAAGCAAGGTACCCATTACTGGAAATTGGACGGAAACCAAGAAATTTCCAAATTCAGAAGAAGAAAGAAAGGTGCCGCATCCCAACCAAGCCCAAGAATAATAAGAATCTTGAAAATTCGAAACAAGAATTTTATCTTTTATATTTTCGAAGAGAGAAGAAGAGTGAGAGAATGGCGTAAACCTGGAGTTGCTCCACCGGGAAAGGGCCGTGTTGGATTTCCTCAAGATCATCTTGTCGTCGTTCTTGCACATCTTTATGCTGGCTCCTGTGCTGCTGCTCCATTCTTGCTCGAAGTTGCAAAAACGGCGGGTTTCTTTCGCAGTAGCAATGTGAATAGGAAATGGTGGATTCTTCAGAATTGAAAATCGTCCGAGGCGTCAAATACCCAAATGCAGAAGAACGAGACAATAGAGAGGGTTGAATTCGTCCTAGACAAGCTTCTGAAGCAATTCGGGTATATTTGGGATGTAATGAATCCGATTAGAGCAATGTTAGGATAGACGGCCAAAAAGTTAACCCACCTGTTTTTTAACCAAAACTTGATCGAAATCCGACCAGAAAACAATGGGTTTTGAATAAAGCTTTTGATGACCGAATTCGAAATTGACCAAACTCAAAATGACCGGCTAAAAATGGGTCAAACCGAACCCGAACCCGACCTAACCAACCTGCTAAAGTAAGAATTTTTCAAATTTATACACTTTTTTACTCGTTTTTAGTTTATAAATTTATATTTTCAAACAAAATTTTAATGATATTTCATAATTATCTTACTTTTTCCAAAACTTAAGCATTTTTAAATTCCTTATATTGATTTATAAATCTAAAAACTACTTTAGAGTTTAAAATAAAACAATTTTATAGATTTAATACTTTTTTTTGATATTTTAAATTTATTTAATAGAAAATGTAAATGCTAATGTCAATTTAAAAATTTAAAAAACCAAAGTCATAACCCGTTGGGTTAACCCGAACCAGATGGCAATGGGTCATAATCATACAGTTCTCAACCCGAACCCAAATTGACCCAAACCGGAAATAACCCGAATTTGAAGTGACCAAACCTGAACCCGTCCTGACCGACCGATTTGCAACTCTAGCTAGGGGTACATCAAAGGTGTACCCAATTTCTCTCCCACCCCTTTCTCCACCACTCATTTTTAACTACTTCTTATTTTTTTAATTTTTTTTAAAGTTCTTGCCCATTTATGTGGTAATGGAGGAGGTGGGGGACAAATGGGGTACATCTTTGGTGTACCAGTAGCATTTAATCCAATTAATTTGAAATGAATGAATCCTATTTTAATGGACCCAAGGTATTTAATTTGAATCAATTGAAACTACATACCTATACTATATACTCCCTCCGTATCCCTAAGATGTTCTCATTTTGACTTTTGGTGGTTTTTAAGAAAAGTTGAAAAAAAGGTGAAAGTTTACCATAATATCCTTAAAGAAAATGGGTGGAGTGTATTAAATGAGGTGGGTGAGGTGTAATAAATAAAATGAGGGTAGTTGTAGTATTTTAATTGTTAAAAAATGAAATTAGAACATCTATTGTGGATAAAGAAAAAGGACTATTGGGAAAATCTATGGGGGATGGATGGAGTATTTGGATGCACGATATTTTCGAGTAACTGAATACTCATTTTCGAACATAATTGAATTTTATATAAATGATTATATAGTTACTTGAGAATGAGTATTCAGCTACTCGTAAATGAGTACTTGTTGTTCGAAAATACTGTAAAACTCATTGTACGGATATATATTGCGACCGAAATTAAATAGGGCAAACAAAGAAAGTCATTCTTTAGAATTGGATTGGAGACTTATATGATGGAAGAAATTGAAACGCGAACAAATTGGAAGGAGTTATTAGAAAATATAAAAAGAAATAGAAAAAATTGCAAGAAATTCAAAGAATATAAAAAAAGTTGAAAACATTAGATGAATTAGAAAAATGTTAGAAATGATAACATAAGAGTGAATTCCTGGAATACTATGTCCGGATGGTTATGGAACCCGATAATAGCCATCTCACATCTTGAGAAAAATTGATGCCCGACTTCAACCCCTGGTATATTGCCGAAGGAGTTTGGAGTCTCGATGGTCTCATTGTTCTCTTTCATCTGGGATAACACTTTCAAGTCTAGCCTGAAAGATCTTTTCTTCTCATCCTCACCAGTAGCTTTTCCTTCATTTTCAACATAGTTTCTACTTCCTTGACAGTTTGCAAATAAAGCTTGTAGAAGAGGCGAATAGTTTTAGTAACTGACTTTTGAGGAGTTTTGCAGTTCGAATTGGTCGGAACCTCCTTTGCTGGAGAAGGTCGCCTCATTAATGAAAGTTCCCCAGAATGGAAACGTAGGCGTCAAAAAGAGGAGAAGCACGGAGCCACCCACTCCAGCAAAGGAGGTTCCGACCAATTCGGACTGCAAAACTCCTCAGAAGTCGGTTACAGAAACTATTCACCTCTTCAACAAGCTTTATTTGAAAACTATCCAGAAAGAAGAAACTAGGTTGAAGATGAAGGAAAAGCCAAAGAAAGCTGCTGGTGAGGATGAGAAGAAAAGATCTTTCAGGCTAGACTTGAAAGTGTTATCCCAGATGAAAGAGAACAATGAGACCATCGAGACTCCAAACTCTTTCGGCAATATACCAGGGGTTGAAGTCGGGCATCACTTTTTCTCAAGATGTGAGATGACTGTTATCGGGTTCCATAATCATTGGCTCAATGGAATTGATTATGTTGGGAATTCAAAAGCAAAGGAGTTTAAAGGGTACAGACTGCCGCTGACAAGATTCATTGTACTATCTGGCCAATATGAAGATGATCAAGATAACTACGATGAAGTTGTCTACACAGGCTAAGGAGGAAATGACTTACTTGGCAATAAGCATCAAATGAAAGACCAAGTCATGCTACGGGGTAACCTTAGACTGAAGAATTGCGTTGCGCAAGGTGTGCCCGTTCGAGTAACTCGTGGACATAAATGCGAGAGTGTGGGAAAGGTTTACACATATGACGGTTTGTATAAGGTTGCAAATTATTGGGTCGAAAAAGGCGTTTCTGGATTTACTGTCTGCAAGTTTCGTCTTAAACGTATTAAAGGAAGTTAAATGCCTTGTTTACCCCCGTACTCTTTAAAAACTGTATGTTTTACTCCTGAACTTTAAAAAGTGCACCAATTACCCTCAAACTCTTCAAAAATTGCACGATTTACCCCTGCAAACTAAAAAATGCACCAAATACCCTTGAGCAAATTAAAAAATTGCATTGTTGGTCCTAAACTATTAGATAGGGAGTGTGTTGCTTCCACGCACAAGAATTGCGAATATGATTCATCTAATCCTTGTGAATTTTCCAAAGTACCTTTACCCAAAATTTCTTCTTTATTTAAATGTTCATGAGTAAACAGTTCAATTTTCAAAGAATTCAAGGATATTTGGTGCAATTTTTATTGTTCAGGGGTAAATCATGCAATTTCTGAAGAATTCAGGGGTATTTTGTATACTTTTTAATGTTTAGGGGTATACCATGCAATTTTTTCAAAGGATTCAGGGGTAAACGGTGCACTTAACTCGTATTGAAGGACAACCTCCACTGACTATAAACCAGATTCACTTTGTTCAAGGTGGTTCTCCAAGTTCTATCTTCGATATAAGAGGGTTGGTGTGTGAGGATATTTCAGCCACTGCCGCCGACCTCCGCCGCCACTGCCGCCGACCTCCTCCGGAAATATCCTCACACACCAACCCTCTTATATCGAAGATAGAACTTGGAGAACCACCTCGAACAAAGTGAACCTGGTTTGTTGTCAGTGGAGGTTGTCCTTCAATACGAGTTAAGTGCACCGTTTACCCCCGAATCCTTTGAAAATTGCATGGTATACCCCTAAACATTAAAAAGTACACAAAATACCCATGAATTCTTCAGAAATTGCATGATTTACCCCTGAACAATAAAAATTGCACCAAATATCCTTGAATTCTTCGAAAATTGAACTGTTTACTCATGAACATTTAAATAAAGAAGACAATTTTGGGTAAAGGTACTTTGGAAAATTCACAATGATCAGATGAATCATATTCGCAATTCTTGTGCGTGAAAGCAACGCACTCCCTATCTAATAGTTTAGGACCAACGATGCAATTTTTTAATTTGCTCAAGGGTATTTGGTGCATTTTTTAGTGTGCAGGGGTAAATCGTGCAATTTTTGAAGAGTTTGAGGGTAATTGGTGCACTTTTTAAAGTTCAGGAGTAAAACATACAGTTTTTAAAGAGTACGGGGGTAAACAAGGCATTTAACTTCCTTTAATACGTTTAAGACGAAACTTGCAGATAGTAAATCCAGAAACGCCTTTTTCGACCCAATAATTTGCAACCTTATACAAACCGTTATATGTGTAAACCTTTCCCACATAACTACTCTCGCATTTATGTCCACGAGTTACTCGAACGGGCACACCTTGCGCAACGCAATTCTTCAGTCTAAGGTTACCTCGTAGCATGACTTGGTCTTTCATTTGATGCTTATTGCCAAGTAAGTCATTTCCTCCTTGGCCTGTGTAGACAACTTCATCGTAGTTATCTTGATCATCTTCATATTGGCCAGATAGTACAATGTATCTTGTCAGCGACAGTCTGTACCCTTTAAACTTCTTTGCTTTTGAATTTCCAACATAATCAATTCCATTGAGCCAATGGTTATGGAACCCGATAACAGTCATCTCACATCTTGAGAAAAATTGATGCCCGACTTCAACCCCTGGTATATTGCCGAAGGAGTTTGGAGTCTCGATGGTCTCATTGTTCTCTTTCATCTAGGATAACACTTTCAGGTCTAGCCTGAAAGATCTTTTCTTCTCATCCTCACCAGCAGCTTTCTTTGGCTTTTCCTTCATCTTCAACCTAGTTTCTTCTTCCTGGACAGCTTTCAAATAAAGCTTGTTGAAGAGGCGAATAGTTTCTGTAACCGATTTCTAAGGAGTTTTGCAGTCCGAATTGGTCGGAACCTCCTTCGCTGAAGTGGGTGACTCCGTGCTTCTCCTCTATTTGACACCTACGTTTCCATTCTGGGGAACTTTCATTAATGAGGCGACCTTCTTCTCCAGCAAAGGAGGTTCCGACCAATTGGAACTGCAAAACTCCTCAAAAGTCAGTTACTGAAACTATTCGCCTCTTCAACAAGCTTTATTTGCAAGCTGTCCAGGAAGAAGAAACTAGGTTGAAAATGAAGGAAAAGCTGCTGGTGAGGATGAGAAGAAAAGATCTTTCAGGCTAGACTTGAAAGTGTTATCCCAGATGAAAGAGAACAATGAGACCATCGAGACTCCAAACTCCTTCGGCAATATATCAGGGGTTGAAGTCGGGCATCAATTTTTCTCAAGATGTGAGATGGCTATTATCGGGTTCCATAACCATCCCACTACAAGAAATTTGGTGTTTTGGCACACTTAAAATGGTAATTTGCCACACTTATAAATGTGAAAAAAATACTTTGCCACACATGACCTAAGTGCGGCTAGCTAATTGTGGGCAATTTTTATCCGCACTTTTAGATAAGTGTGGCTAACTAATATTTTACCAACACTTAATATGTGCGGGTAATAAATTTTTTTGCAACACTTACATGTGTTGGGAAGGCACCACACATATAAGTGTCACAAATATCAAATTTAAAAAATAAAAAAATTATATGCACAAAAATAAGTGTGGCAAATGATCGACTATGTAACACTAAGTTCTTTCTTTGTAAAAGATTGATACATTTTAACTTCTGGAGGATGAAGTTTCAGCACTGTATTCACCAATAACTCAATTTGAACACGAGATAGTTGGCCCTACAAACAAATAAAATGATGACATCAAATGGTTGCATATATTCATGAGCATGACATGAATGTTCAAGAGAATGGATTTCATGACTCCAACAGCCTTAGCTTTAACCAAGTCCATATATTGTTCATAAAGCTTTGATTGAATCTTCAAATGCAACAGCATAATTAGTCTATGAAAAAGAGGCAGTAATTACACAATTATTTCAAAAAAGACACTAGAAACGGTAAGAGACAGTAATTAAGCATCATCAAAAAGGGTAAGATTAAGCACCAGACAGTAATTACTGTCTCAAAAAAGAGGCAGTAATTACACAATTATTTCAGTGATGTCCAGTCTTCACCAAACAAGATGCACTAGCTCTTTTGGGACATGGTTAAAAAAAGCATGAAGTCATGGACGTGGTTAAGAAAACTACTCTAGTCCCTGCCATTGACGGTAAACCACTTTCCAACAAAGCAAAATAGAACACTCCACGATAAGATAAAAGGCTAATGGAATTTGAATCCATAAAATATTTCCGATACTAGAGGCGGTCGTTAATGTAAGGAGGTTGTTGGTCATTTTATAAAAAGAATGATTGGGATATGAAGCCATACTCTGTATTATTCTTCATAACCAACCCTTGTTCTCTAATTCTTCAAGAAAAAAAGGCACTCACTGAGTGCTGATGCTCTCATGCTTTCATGCGGCTGGATTTTGCTTCTTCTAAGAGCCAGAGACAAAACTCTGGCAGGCTAGTCTCTGACTCATGATTGTGTAGTCGGCGCAGAATGCCTCTCAATCCATATTTCCATATTTGAAGGGGGGAACCGTAAAATCAAAGGGTAAAAGGATATAAGTAAGTGAGTCTAGCAACGTTCTACGACTAAGCCGGAAAGAAGAAGAAAGGCAGACTCCATCAATCAATGTTCTACGATTATTGCTCATGGTTTAAATGCTACTTTTTGCCAAGTAGGGGAAGATTGAATCAAATAAATTTGAAGACGATTATAAATAGTGTTTTTACAGAGAAGTAGGTTCTGGTCTGGCAACAACACCAACGGGGCTGATGTTACTACACACTGATTGCTCTTAGCCGAAATATAGGTGTAACATTTTAGAGTTCTCCAAGGGCTATAGGTTTATGTTTTTTTTTAATTTATTTGGTTTTTCTAGTCTTGTGTGGGCCATATTCCTTTCGGTTCTAATCTTTTGCAGAAACCATAATCTCTAATGTATATAAGAGAGATGAATTGGAAAGAAAATGATTTTCAATACAGTCCACAGTTGGGTGGTGTTTGCTGTGATTCAACTATTAGTAATGACTTTAAATTTTTGGCAGTGGCTTTTGGATTATAAATGTAGTATGATCAAGGGTTTAGAAAAAATAAAGGGGCAAGGGAGCTTAGGTTTACAACAGGGAGTTTTCTCTACCTGAAGCAGTGGCATCACATAACTACTATTCAGACATTCACATCTCCCTTAACATCAGGAATCTAAAATTTTCTTTTTATCAAGCAGTAGCCATTGATGACCTAAATGAAAAGGCTGCATAGGTTGATTCAAGGAAGCTAAATCATAAAATCAAGAGAAGGATAAGTTCATTGCTCTAAGTGAAAGAGTCACCATTGCAGTGGAATCATGTGGACAACCTCAGCTCAGCAACTCAGCTGATCCACAAGCTCCAAATGCACAACTTTTTTTTGAAAGGAAGTGCACAACCTATATATTGAATGCATGGTATGGTATAATGTTTGTCAAATATGGTCTATTGATGGTTTCAGGTTGCAGTACCTTTAAGAGAAATTTTAGGGGACTATTTGACAGGTAATGAAAGATTTTAATGACGGTTTTCCTATAACTATGAGTTGTACTCACATTAAAGGACATTTTTCTTGTAGTGTTGAGATAAATTTGACCAAATGTCACTCCAATCTTTTGGAGAAGTAATAGACTCTTGACCCCACTAAGAATGAGATATTTGACAAACATAAAAACAAAATGAAGATCAAGAAAAAAAGGCTCGTGAAAGAGAGTGTGGGTAGATAAGCATATCAGAGGTCCAAAAGAATTAAAGAAATTCTTTAAGTGTGTAGCCTAATGCTTGAATGTTATTGTGTAACCTTAGGGTTAAAAAACAATATCAAAAACTAAAATTTAAAAATCAGAAAGTAAAATTCACCATTC